CTGGGGACGGCCCAGGGAGCAATGCCCCCGCCGGCCCAGCCGGGAGTGAGGCCGGGGGGGGCAGGAGGAAGAAGGGGGAGGGGGAGGAGGAGGTCCGGAGCCGCAGGAGAGGGCTCAAAGAGCCGCATGCGGCTCCGGAGCCGCGGGTTGCCGACCCGTGATCTAGAACGTCAGGAAATGGAGTGTTTCATGCTTGTCCGTCACTAGCCTGTTGGGAGAAAAGACTAAAGGCTACTTGTTCTTGCATTTCATTTGATGAGCAGTCAGACTATTCATATATAATTTTGCCCCAAGAACTGGATTCTATCTATAATCAGCATATAGTTTAGCTTACAGTTAGTGGTTACATACCTATAAGGGTCAGCAGAATTTTATTATGAGAATACTGTTCTTTTTAAATTCTTTATGCTTCATTTCATTTCAGAAAAAAAGTCCAAAGGTGGCATAGCAGAAAATAGTCCTTTAGCTACTAGCAGTTCATGACTGGAGATGCCTGGTAGTTTTGGAGGCTATATTATAAGAGACAGGTAGTTAGCAACAGTAATCAGTATATATCTAGGAAACAAAAAAAGGATTGGGTCATAGTTGTAAATGACACAAGGGAATTTTTAGGAAAAATAGATATTGGAATTAATTTCATTCACTTACTCTAGAAAATCTCTGGGCTTTCTGAGAGCAATGATTATATGCCAGGACCTTTTACATTGCAAGATGCCATGAATGCAAAGATAAATGGGAAGCTATGAAGGACATAGATGAAACAAATCTAGAGGTTTATTTGTTGTTGTTTGTTTATGAAATGCAGCCAAGTACTTTGAATAAGAGATAGTCAAATCATCCTCACAATCCAACTTTTGATAGCAGGCAGAGCATCCTGCAGTTAATAAGGGAGAGGATATTGAATGTTTTCCTTTCAAGTTTTTGTTGTTGTTCATAATTATGAACACTCACCCAGCTGCACTTCTAATCACATATGGAAAGCAACTAAGTCAGGGAACTTTCAATAGAGGGAAAAGAGTTAAATAGGCCTTCATCTGACTATTTTTTAATTCATATTTGCAATGCCTGAAGTAAATTTTCATTATTAAAAATGCTATAAAGTCCTGAAGTCATCAGGATTTAAGAATCATAAAAGCTTAGATGAGTTATGGATTAGACAGCTTATATTTTCCTAGGAAAAGGTTCTTGAAGAAGATTAAAATTCTATCAGTCAACTACTTCCACTTTCCCCATATTAACCAGAAAATTTGCTCAATAGCTTTTTGTAATTTGAGCCCTGGCATATGTGATAATAAAATCTAGTTAATCTATTTAATTGGTTGCAGGCACCTTCTTTTGAAACAGTTTTTACAGGAAGGTAGAAAATTCCAACTAACAAGGCAGTCATTTAAAAGGCTGACTATATCCAATGACCAATGCAACCCAGATGACCTGTGTCACTGTAATGTTGAGAGTTGTGTTTCTGCTCCATTACAAAGCCATGAGTGTGCAAAGCTCAAGTGAGCTATAGAGTAAGGACTATCAAGATAAAGCAAGAGGCCTTTTGGGGAAATTACTTCAAGGCATCTGACTTTACTTTCCAAATCTGTGACCAGTTTACTTGACCTACTTTATTATTCATGGAAGAATTAGTGCATGCCCCTAGATGCTACTTTTCATCTTACATGCTACATCCAACATCCTTTGAAGTGTTGTTCATGCCTGAAGCAAGTAAAATATACCGTGAGGCACCTCTGCATTGCCCCAGGCAGACACAATGCTTCTAAAAGGAAAAGCAAAAAGGTGAACTAACAGGACCTTATCTATTCATCCTCTGTGTTTGAGTGTTGGCCACCAGTCAGTCTTTCTGAAATTGTTAAATTTATAGAATCTTTAAGAACAGAAAAAGCCACCAATTGTAACTGTGTTTCTCCAAAGATACTCAAGCCACATTTAGATTGGTGGGTACTTTTCTTAATTTTCTGTTCATCTACATTGACCAAATAGGAAATATCCCTGAGGACTGGGAAAAGGCAACAGTGGGTCCTATTTACAAGAAAGGTGCAAAAAATGTCCTGAGCTACTATAGACCTTTTAGCTTATTGAGAATAATAGGCAAATTCTGTATTAGGCATTTGAACCAGAAATTATAGGGGGAACTTCCAAGAAAGCTGCTGTATGATAAATGAATATTTGTAATGCATCATCTAATACTGGTAGTCCTCAACTACAATTGGACTAGAATCTCAGCAGTTGCAGTTGTTAAGTGATCTCTAGGGTGAAAGAGCTGCCTGTCGAGTTCAGCTCCCCTCCATGTTTAGAAAGGAACTGGTTTGGTGGTCTGCAGGAACCAAGATGTTATGTCTAATTCAGAAACTACAGCACAGACTAATACCTCATTTCAAACCTTTAAGAAGCATTCACAAGGAAAATACTTTCAAAGTTATCGGACAGAGATGTATGTTAGTACCTGCACTATTCAACTTTTATATCAACAATATGGTGAAGTCTTAGATCCACTTATTATCCATGTTCCCCAAATTTATGGATGTCAGATCCTACTACATTCTATAAGCTGACAATGCTGTGGTCATTTCTTATTCTCAAATTGGACTCAGAAAAGCACTGAATGCTATTGCACTCTTTTGTGAACTTCAGAAACTAAATATTAACTACCAGAAGTCCAAAATAATGATAAGACAAAACAACATGGCAGGTGGGACCAGCACAGGGCAAATCTCCTCCTCCAAATATTTTGGGACAATATTTTATACCTCAAAATCTTGGAAGAATCAAATAGGTGAAGTAATTCTCTTTTCCTTCCAACTGATGTTATTCCCTTCTCCTCTTTCTCTTGTCCGCTCTCTTTAATCTTCTAATGAATAATCTATGGAAAATTTACTTGTAGTGCTTAATCAGCTCTCAAATTCATATAATGGCAATTTAAGTACAGTAGACACATGTAATTAAAAAACAAATCATAAATGTCATCAAATATAATATTCTTTTCTTGATAAATCCTTTAAAATTATTGCACACATGAAATTGTTTTGATTGTTACATTTACAATCCATTAACTGTTTTTCTCTGTCAGAAAATCACATTATCTAATCTAGCATTTTGGGGCTTCATTGGGATCTCAGGACACAAAAATCCTGCTAGAAGCAAGTAGGTATATGTCACGTATTAAGAAGCAATTTGATAAAATTAATCAACTATCCTGCAAATAAATATATGATGAAGATGAGTATACTATGACTATTATATCAGACAACAGTAGAGAAATAATTCAGTTAACCAAATATAGTGACACCTCCACCTGTGACAAAATATCCAGCATTGAATAAATTCATACGAATCTATGGTTTTGCAAAAGTGTTTCTGAAGTTTAGTATTTTAGAACATCCTCTTAATTTTCCTGGCTATATCATCATGACTATGTTGTTTAGGAATATTAGAAATATGTTTTGCAGGAAGTAGTACTGTAACTTTCCTGAAAGAGATCTCTCTTAATCAGTTGCACAGATAATTTCCACTCAATCTTTAATTTTACATTTTTGGAGAAGTACTTGATGGAGTGTTAGCTAAAGAGAATCCTACAGGAAATAGATTGTTCTGACTCCTCTTGGTCAGAATTCTGGCACAATGTGGGCCTAATATATTGATTACTTTGGTCAATTATCTTTGTTGTGACATCAGAGAACTGTGCCTCTCCTGGTCCTATTAAATCTCTTAGCGGACTTGTGTACCTTAATATGTATGGTAGGCAATAGGAGGCACTACTTTATGGTGGCTCTGCTCCTTTCTGAATAGATAGCTCTACTACTGGGTGGTGCATGTGAGAAAACCAGCTGAATTCTTGCTCCACCCGTGGGATGGAATAGGGATCCCCCTTCAATATCTATATGAAACCACTGAGAGGTCATGTCAAACTGGGGTGAGAATCGGCGATATTTTGATATTGTATACATCCCCATATCAGGATAGGCCAAGAATGCTGTGAAGATTCTGACCCACTATATGGAGTCAAAACAAATGCAAATTTGGAAAATTTGGATCCCTGAAAAAAGAGTTGCTTTTTGTATGATCCATCACAGTCCCAAAGTTAGGTCTGAGTAGGATTGCCTTTCCCTAAAGAAGCTAATTTTTATAATTACTTGGAAGTTCTGCAGAACATTAACTATGCTATTATTATAATACTATTATCAGTAACTTGTTCCATGGCCAAGGTCTTTTTAAAATACAGCCTTCTCCATACTGATGCCTCTCTCCGAAGTCAATTAGCTGGATGCTGGCTAATAGATTATGCAATTTAATCAGCATTTTTGAAGTGAAAGGTTGTGGAAGCTTCCTCTTACATTCTGGAATGCAATGGGCTACAATCATATCATGGAGAAATTGTATAAAAATAAATTAGAAAGAAACAATTCCAGAGAAAAAGAGTCACATGAGCATACTGTTGGTTAAAAACATGGAGGTAGTCCCAGATTATTTATTATCTTTCCATGTAATTAACTGAAAAGTTGGTATGTATTCATTCCACAAAACAAAAAACGCTATTTCCAGAAATCAACGACTGAGTTTTGTTTATGCTGAGGGCAGACTGAGAACTGAACTAATAAAGTCAGCTAGTCAGGGGTTAAAAATAAACACAATCCACCAATCAATTCTTTCTAGCAATAGTAGATAGAGAGAATAATCTGCTTTCTTCTATGGGATGTATATAGATAGCTGAGTGTATAGCTGCATAAATTAGTATCTGGCCTGCAAAACATCATTTGCAGCATTGCTCATTGCAAGCTGATTGTTCTGTGATGAACTAATGGTCAAACTTTGTACTTCGTGGCATCTTTTCTGCTCAATTTTTAGACTATTCAATAATAATTTTATTTCTTTCATTCAGAATGTAACAGCAGACTCATTCGCAGTTATCTTGTCTTTTACCAATAATAGAGGAACATTAGAAATTATAACAAAGAAATGAGAACGTTATGAAAAGGACACAATTCCAGGCATAAGCACAAGTTCAGTTTTATTCATAGCAATGTTGATGGGAATGTTGGTGTAAATTCTCTCCAAGGAGAATGTTCTAAGTAAAATATAGAATTCAAAACAGGTATTTTTTTAATAAAGTACACACAATATAATTTTGTTTTCAATTATATATAAATTTGGCAAGTTTCGTTCAAATGTTTATACAAATCCACGTTCATTGCAAATTTATAATACTCTGCACATTTCTACAACATAATCCTGAACACAGCATTTTCGGTATCTTTTTGCAAACAAAATTAATCAATCACAGCCTGGACTAAAAAATGCCCACTGCTTTCAGTTAGTGATTATACAATAGGACATAAAGAGCAAGTAACTTTGTTAAGTGTGTGGACATTTCAGATGAGATACTAAATTGTGGGTATTATGGGATTACAAATGCCTGTAATATTATCTGTGATTTTTTTTAAAAAACAGTCACTTGACTTAAGATGCTGGTGTTAATGATAAAGATAATGGTGAATCACAACTACAACAATATAGAAGCTGCAAGTGGTTAATAATCTTCATTTTTATTGAGATATCCTGTTGATTCCAAGATCTGAAATGACTGGTGGGAGATAACTCTCACTTCCTCATTTATTGTAGTTTTATCTGTTCTCTACTTCTTTCTCTCTTGTTAAAGCACCTGCAATGCTGGATCTAGTTTGGAGATTATGCTGTTACATCACACTGTCTTTTTATTTGGAACTGTCCTCCAGCATTTAAAAAAAATTAAAAAATTCCTTTGGTAACACCTTTTATGTTAAAATATTCCTTTGATCTTGCCCAGTAGTAAAACGTTAATGGAAGTGATGTTTTTCATTAGCAATGGAGAAGAACAAGAGGCAGAAAGCAAAGTGAGAACTAGCTCTTTTACAGTCCCATCATCACAATAAATCCAATATGCATCATGTGTTCTCTTCCTGTTTTTTCCTTTCTTTTTGCTTAAAAAAACTTTCCAGTTGTTAACTGTAATACTGAGGAGTGACAATTTATTTAGTTGCAGTCATATACAAAATCATAATTGCTTGGCTCCTTTGGAATAGGGGGTGGAGCATCAGGGATCTGTATGTTCTCCAGATCCAGGAGACGCAGCTTTATCTCCATACTGAGCAGAGTATCCAAGTCGTTACGTGTCAGTTCACTCATCATATCTTTTCCAAGTAGGGCATTTAGACCATCAGTCCATACACAGTACTATTGTGGGAGGGGAGAAGAGGGAGAATTGTATTAATCTGACTTTTATAAGCGCATCCAAAATACCATGCCACTTCAGTAATTATATTTTAGGTAAAACATTTTTACAGTATCAGAACTTTTAAGTTACAACCTAAGTAACCTAGGATTTTGTTAACTAGGTAATCTAGGATTAAAATAAAACATACTATCTTGTTTGAGTATGACATTATAGAGCAGTTATTTTTTTTAGATGGTTTCAGTATAAAATAAACGTACTGGGAAGAGAGAAGTATAAGTGATTTCTGCTTGCAATGTCTGTAATATTTATAGGCCAGCAAATAAAACACAAAAGTCACAATTAATTTACAGAATTAATTAAAAGGAAAATATATTATTCTAATATATCTTAAAAGGGTTAGAGTTAATATGTCCTACTGTGCATACTATAGAGCAATAGTTGGCTATGGTCATGGAAATAAAATCAGATTTATTTGATAATAACATCTTGAGATAAAACAAATCAGAACCATCATGTTACTTAGTAAAGAATGGGAATAATTTCTGGTGAGCATCTGCATACAGAGGGAAATACAGAAAAACATGTTTCATCAATTCAATTATTCCTCCAATGCATGGATACAGTCTCTTTTTGAAGGACATTTTTTGGTACCTTCCTTCAGTAACAGCTGTTAGGAGGGTATTGACTCTGGCTAAGGAGAAAGCCCTTCTGAATTTTGGGATCATTAACAGTAAAGTAAAAAAAAAAAAATCTGTTTCACTATTTTAAAAAAAAAATAAAAAAGAAGCCAAAGCTCCCTGAAGCCAATAGTTCCAGATAAACAAGGTCAGAAAAATTGTTTGAAATCATCAGCAATTCAAAGAGATCTCATGAACAACAATCAAGTTGATTTTAAAAGCCATTTTAAAAGTTACTTATGCAACTGTGAAGAAAAGTGTTTAAATAAGGCAACCTAAAAATAAAGATTTCCGTTACATTGGCCTATGTCCTAATTTATAATTAGAAATTATAATCACCCATAACAGTGTTTTTATCATATAAAGGATTGTTTTGGATTCCATGCCAATAGATGGAATTTAAATTTAGCTGATTGCATGCTATAAAATAAAAGTAACTAGAGCTTGCAATGTGCAACTGAAGTTAAAAAGCAAGAAAATAAAAGATTACTGTATATGAACATCACATAAGGGGAAGAAGAAACAAAAATAGAGAAGTAGTTACTTTTTCTGATTACTGTTATTCTATTCCCTTGATGAAAGACTTTCACTGGATCTTAAGTATTTGTATAATATAAAATTGGTAATTTTGATCAGATAGGGATTTTGTTAGCTGTCCTGCTGGCTCAATAAACTTTCTTCTTGAGTTGGCTTTAATTTTGGGGATGGTTCTGAAATTTTCCAGACCAATGACATCCACTATTTAAAAGTTGTTTTACATTTATTTTAGGATTTGCCTATGGTTTTTAAATTTTATTTTAGTTGCTGCATTAATTTATGTGTTTTATCTGTTGCTTGGGATTTAGTGGACTCTAGGTAGTTTGTATATTTTACAGTATAAAAATAATGAAAATCAATATTATAATTTATATAATTCACATTCCAATTGGATACCAAGAAAATGGATAGAATTATGTTAGCAAGTGCTATAGCACTGCTAGTTATAATTAGAATTTTTGTTTACATCCTGTCTCAGAATGTAAATTTGGCCCTGATGGCATATTGGTGAGCATTCTATATGACTTCTAATTTATTTCCAAGAAAATTTCAGACTTTGATTACTGGTCAGAGACTGGCTACCATTCACGGGAGACCCTTTTATATACTGGATTACAGAATGAACTTTCAGATATTGATGTGAACTCTAGAACTTCTTTTTACAAGAGAGCCATTTGACTTCTTCATTAGTAACTTCCTAGAACAGAGGACCCCAACCGGTTCCGTGGAGAGAGGTTTTTCGCAGACCAGAGGATGTGTGGTTTTGTGTGCTGCCTGCAACCCGCGGAAGGGGCTTTGCTTGTTTGTGCAGACCGGTTGCTGGCATGCTGTGCCCTGGTACCGGTCCGCAGACCGGGTGTTGGGGACCCGTCCTAGAAGATGGGAAAGACTTTCCCCTTTTTTGTGAAGACAAACAATACAGGATATATTTTAATCTCATTTAATTTTTTTTACAATTATAGTTGGATGGCTATTGCATTGATTATTTTGCCAACTTGAAAAGATTATGGTTGGTTTTCTTAAATCATCAGCTCACTGAAAGTTTTAGTCATCTTGAATTCTTAATTTAAGAAATTTTGTCTTTTTGCTTCAAAGTATCATTATATGTTTGCAATTTCTAGAATCTCAAAAAATGAAGCTGATTTAGCTATTCAACCTCCTCCCCTTCCCAAAAAAGAATTTAGTGAAGTGCTGTTTAATTCAACTAATGACCGGAAAGAATAATTATCTATTTGCCTTTTCAATTTTTTTTAAACATACATAAATTTACCTCATGCTTGTCAGGAGCGATGAAATTTAGCTGTCCATTTGAATCAAATAGTATAGAGAAAGCAAGTTCAAGCACCTCCTGAAAAGACACAATAATAATAAAGTAAAAAAAGAGACTATAGTTGTATTTCATAGTTTCAATTTACACCCATATATTTGTATGTCTTCTGTGCATTCTTTTTAAGAAGTTTAAATATATATATTTCAAAAGATAATGTTTTGATGGCTAATATGTCAAGCTGCTAACATTGGATGTTCTTTCTTTGACAACATATGGAGATGCAGCCTTTTCCTTTCTTATGCTTTAGAATTAGATGATACTGAGGGAGGAGGAGGAATGTGATGGGAGTTAGTTAGACATAACAATATTGTAATAGTGTGTGAATTAAGGGCTTTTGAAATAAGAGATGATAAGAAATGGCGTTGGAGAACAGGAGGGAAAGTCTGCATTTCAAACTAATTGGAGAATGTGATTTATGACTGTTAATTAGAGGAGGGAATTGTGTTTGATACTACGTGCTAAGGGGAGGGGAATCCAGATTTTGGCTTCGCTTATGTATGTGCCGATGCTATGCTGCTCGAATAAAGATTCTTTAAGGTAAACAATGCCTCAAAGTTCTTTGAAGAGTTTCATCTGTTGGAACCTTGACATAATAGTTATTATGATTTTATACATCTGATGCTTAATATAACATTAAAAAATTGATACCAAACTAACTATATTGAGTTCTTTCCATAATACTAAAAAGGAATTTTAGAACAAAGTCATATTATTGCTTATGAATTGTAAAATGAAAAGAAAAAGACAGGAAAACAAAAGAAAAAGAAAAACATTTCTAAAAAAATGTTTTCTGACTTCCTACTTTGTTTCCCCACCAATTTGTACTAGCTATTAATATAAATTTTAAAAACCTTGTTCTAAATGCTTGTACTTGCCTTGCTACATAATATGTGCGATATATATGGAAGCCATTCTTTCTTGAATTTAGTCAAGTTTCTATTTTACATGTATAGTGTTATTTTTTGCCAATTCTGCATATTCCCAATCAAATACCATTAATACCACATTCTCATATAATTTTGAGCCATGTGCTACTCTGTCTTTCTTCTTCAACACTGCAGTGAAGACAATCACTTCCTATTTTAAGTTCAATACAGTTTTATCATTTCAGCTAATATTGGTTGAAAGTTTCTTAGGAACAAATTCCAAGTTCCATGTCATATTTCAAATGTGATCCCTAAATCATAACACCCTCATTAGTAAGATAAAACCTAATGACTTGATATATATATCTTTACTTACTGGATTATTTTTCCTCCTGGCAGATGCAAGATCTTATGATACTTAATGTTACTTTATTTCATCCTGGTTCAAGCAATACACAAGGAACTGGAATTTTAACTCCAATGTGCATGTTAAGACATGAGTGTGCAATACAGTAAGGGGAATCAAGCAATGTCTTAAAGATACTCTATTAGTTCTGAAATTCTTCCTAAAGATGCATTTAATTAGCTTCTGAACCCTTTCCAGACCTGCTAGATATTTAAATCTCAAATTACTGTCTTCAAACTCAGGGGAATCCTAACTCTGGCAAGTTTAATGGATTCACATCAGCAGTTTTAGAACAAAAATTTAAAAAAAATTAAATTCAATTTATGCAGAAGGAACCATTGAAACTTTAAGAGAGGTTGTGATACTGTTTACTTTATGGTGACATCCATTTAAAGTTGGTAACTTCACACTTAGTCAAATTCCCTGGTCATTCAGATCAGTTTTATTTACAGATAGTACTCTCAGACTCAAATAGCTTTATTTTTTTAAGTACAGCCATATTTTATCATGTAAGATATAAGGTATGCAGCAGTTTCATTGATATGCTTAATTCACTTCATGACTAATATTAGTTTTATATATATAATGTGCTTTATTGATAATTGTCTGTAATTATCTCTCTCTCTTCATCATCCATCCATCCATCCATCCATCCATCCAAAAAGATAAAACACTGTAAAAATGAAATTAAGCATTTTTAAAGTTTTGGTTGTCTCAAAATAAAACAAGTAGGAAAACATGTTAAGAAGAAATATAAGAAACATTAATGTATATTAATATGGATTAATTCATATTTTAAAAAAAGCATAAGCACAGAAATTTATTATGTCTGATTTTATATATAGCCTACTGCGCCAAAAGAATATGTTTCAAAACATTAAAAATCATTTTTAGCGAAATAACACTGTTGTTGATACTATGCCATTTTCTGTGGAGAAAAAAAATCTCTCAGTGTGACAGATATTGGGAATATCTTTTTAAAAACCGTTGAATGTTTTCCTAGTTCTAAGTTTGCAACATTCAAAGTAATAGTGAATGATCATAGTGGCAAATATATAAATACTGTACATTATTAAAATAGCTGAAATAAAATAAAGGAGATAGTATTTATTAAAACAAAGTAATACACATTATCTCAACAAGAAAAATAGCATGCCAAATAAAAATGCATGGGAGGTAAATGCTTATATATTTTGTGATAATTGGGCTCTGATCTTGATATCTTGGATCTAATGTCCACCGTATTTCAATGATCTATCCTGTAGCACTTTTCCATCAACAAAGAAGAAAGCGAAATAATAAAATGGATTTTTTTTTGCAATAAACAAAGAACAATTCTGTGAAATGAAAGTATTGCATATGAGGAATTGAGTAAGTTCTGTGTTTTTCCTATGTAGAAACCTTTTGTTACACAAGTAGAAACCTAACTGAAATATATGAAATTGTGAAACTCAAGTCATGTGCACTTGTACATACAGAGTAAGAAAAGAATAAAAATATACTTTTTTGTGTTTCCCACATGAGGAAATTCATGGCCTACAGATATAATTATACTTCAGGAAGCACTTTTGTTTCTTCCATTACAATGTATTTTATGAACCTTTGATCTCTTTTTAAAATTTAAGACATTCTCAATTAAAAGAGAAAATAATGAGAAACAGCAAGTGCACAATCTTATCTTTTTTAGAGCTCCTTTACATATCCAGAAGAATTATATGGCATATCCCTTCTTAAAATTGCAATGAAAAAAATGATGGATATGAATTCCTATTGAGAACTCTATGCCTATATTATTATTATTATTATTATTATTATTATTATTATTATTATTATTATTATCATCATCATCATCATCATCATCATCATCATCATCATCATCATCATCATCATCATCATTGTTATTATAATAATAATAATAAATGAACAGGAGACACAGCAAGAGCCATACCATCATCATATTACACAAAGGAGGAATTCAAAAACATGACCCCTCTACTGTCGCATTGACAGGAATTTTCTAATGTGTCCTACTTTCTAGCATGGTGTTTATCTGACTTACCTTTCTGTGCTTGCTATATCATTTCATTTGTAAAACTCTTATTCATTTATCCCCTACATTAGCCAAACAGTCTGAACAGTGTCACATTGTATTTAGGTGTTAAGAACATTTCTATCCTAACCTTTTAAGTTGAGAGAATTGATTCATTCAGTCCCCAGCAATCTTTACGTTCCCTGGGTAGTATTATTTTCCCCCCCCTGAATGTGCATACATTCATAAATTACTCTATGTTCAATATTAGTCCTGAAGCTGAAAGATGTTCTGAAGATGTATCTATCATTACTAGGGACATTTCTTGAATAGTTTCTTGAACAGTTTCTTGGGTGTCATATTGTTCATCTAGTAATATAAAAAAATCACTAACCTGGCATGCTTCAGTTAGAGATATTTTTTTAAAAAAAAGATTCAACATCTCTTTCCCTCTAAATGTTTTTTTGCCAAAAAGATGTTGGGCAATAAGCAAGGTTAAATAAATGCTGTAGTTAAAATTATATCAATGCATCTTTGATCTAAATGCCTATTTAAGAATAGACTGCTGAGGTTTTTATTTTGTAGATAGCTGTGTGTATATGTTCTTTTTGCAAAAATTACATTAGAAGGTTAGGCAATTGTAAAAAAAAACTTTTAAAAATAATAAAAAATGGAACAAGATGCAATTAAAACCAGTTCTGAATATTAGTAGACAGATCAAGTGATTTAGGCAGCATTACAAATGATATAAAATTTCCATCTCTTTGTTGCTATATTTTTCCTGTTGAAAGAATGGAAATTGGTCATTGGCAAATGGAAATACTTCATTTTAGATAAGATAAGATAACCTTTATTGTCATTTTTTATACTGTGGGCACAACGGCACACATCAAAAATGAAATTTAATTGCCCGCTCTCAAAGTAGTAGCATTTCTGCTATTGTCAACACCTTAATATGAAAACAGTTGCTAACCATGAAGAGCATGTTAGTAAAGTTCTTTTTGGAAGCTCTTTTTAGCCATAATTAGACAATCTGTGACTCATTTCATATTTCATTAGCCAAACAGACAAAAAATAACCATAGATGGGCAAAAAAGCAGTGGGAGTGAAAATGATTTCTGACTGCCTTCTGGCTTCACCACTGAATTTCCTTGTGGGAAACTGGCAGAAAGTATTGCAAATCTTCATTCCTCCCTCAAATTCCTACCAGCTTTCCCATTCACTTTGCTTGTGGGAAGCTTCCATGGAGAAAGTCAGTGGAGAAGCTGGGAGAAAATGGCAAGTTCAGGATGATTCCTACCCCCTGGGGAAAGGAATGAGTGTTTGTGCAGTGATGCAGCATGGATCTGGAGCAAGGGGTGCTTGAGGGGGTAGAGCAGGTTGAGAAGGATATACAGGGAAGTGCAAGAATGTAATGTTATTGGAGAGAATGCACGGGGGTGTGAGGATAGCCACATATGACAGGAATGGCAGGCAGGGATGCAACATGAGCTCAGAAAGGTGTGAGGGTGTGATGTTGGGAAGTATGTAGGCCAGCTTGGGTTAGGAAGAATGGGTGAGGGGTATGAGAGATGCCCGCTGCTTGTGGAGAGAGCACAGGGATATGGCACAGGTTGAGGAGCAGGAATGGAATATATAAGTGGCTGGCGTGGAGTGAGTGAGTGACTGGTGGGAAGTTATACGTGGATGGGGAAGACGTATCTTAGCAATTTAATGACTTTCCTTCTGGCTTCTGGACTGACTGTCAGGGAGCACTGGAAATGGCAAAGATGTGACCATGGCTGACTGCAACAATGTGGTACACTGAAGCAGCAGCAGCAGCAGCACAGTGGTACCGAAGTGGACACAATGTCCCCAAGTTTCAGTCCTACAGAAATGATGGGTCCCAATATTAGTCTATTTAAAGTATCTTGATTCAAAAAAATGTGGCCCTTTAAGGAGCGTTTCTCCCAATTGAAGGTTACAAACAGGCACAAGAGTTTTAGTAGTATGTAGATGGAGTGAATTAACTATACTTTGGAGAAAGGAAGATACCGGTAAGCTTATCATCTTAAGATGACATGTTCTTTTATATCTGGGATTATGACTTAAAATGGCCAAAGCACATTAGAGTCTCTAGATCCAATCTCCTTTCAATAATTCCATTTTGACACCAATAGCACTTAAACACAGCCTGATTATTTTACTCTACTAGATATCAACTGCCAGAGCTTTGCATACAGAGAATGAATGGGTTTTATGGAGAGACGTTATTCCATTACTATGTGTGGCTAAAGGCTCTGAGCATTTGAGAATGAACAAATGAATGAACAAATTAGAAAAAGAACATTTAAAATGAACGGAGCAAACTCTTTTTAGCAGAAGGAACAACAGATACTTTTGTCAAACCCCTACAGCTAAAGACTTACTGGATGTAATTTAAAATAATACCTTGTTTTGTTTAAGGGCTCCCTTCTCCTTCATGTGAGGGCAGTCCTTCCCTGTAACAATTGCTTTTATATCTGCCACAGGCACTGTATCAGATAAGAAAAAAAGGAAGGTGAGAAGTGATGGAAAGCACTTGGCATCAAAGAGGCAAAATGAAAGTAGTGTTAGAAATGACATCCCTAATACCAGGTGAGATTTCTGGTGTGTGAAAGAAACCAAAGAGGTAATCAGGAATCAATGGATTTTACTGTCAAATGTTACTGATAAAACTATCAATTTCCATCTTTATTTTCCAGAATCTGTGGAAGTGAAGAGCTCTGTTCAAGTTCACTCATTAATCAGCCTTATTGATTTCTGTGGGGCTTTTTCCTAATAAGTGTAATATTTACATAAATGTTGATTCTTCTTTGTCACTGAACTTAGTCCTAATCAATATATATTTATACGTATTTGTGTTATTTGTATATTCTGGTTTATTTTTCTTCTTTACTGTGTAATAATTTAACATAGAGTCTTTTCTTTTATATGTCATCACTTTAGCAAATAATTGTTAAAAACAAATACATATTTGTATCACTTTAGATAAAATGTTTAGACAACCACTTTCTGTTAGCTTAATATTTGTTTATTTAAAAAAATAAATGCTTTTAATCTAAATACCCTTTATTAAAAACAATGCATATAATGCAGTCAGAAAATAATTTGTTAGAATACAGCTAATTTTATTTATTTTATTTATTTATTCAATTTACTTAGCTGCTCATCTTACTATTATATGATTCTCAGGTGCTTGCAATAAAAACACAAAACACTTAATATAAAAGGAAAATAAAAACACATACAGTAACCGTTAAGCATGATCTAACCCAGGGGTAGGCAACCTTGGCTCTTTTATGACTTGTGGACTTCAACTCCCAGAATTCCTGAGCCAGCCATGCTGAGGGGAAAGGGAGAGGTTTCCAAGTTGAGCCATGCTGGCTCAGGAATTCTGGCAGTTGAAGTCCACGAGTCATAAAAGAGCCAAGGTTGCCTACCCCTGATCTAACCTATTATCCATACAATCATGCAACCATTTGAGCAGCTGAGAGGGGGAAAGGCTAGATATTTCAAATCTCCTCTCCCAGATGTTTCTGCAAGGTAAATACATTTTGCCTCTGCCTCTGTGCCTTGGAACAGAAATCAGTTTCTGCTGCCATTAATTATTTTGCACATCTGGGATAAACCCCTCAAACTTCTTGTGGTACAGGTAGGTCGCCCACACTCTGTATTACTTTCTGGCAAATTAAAGAGAGGCAGGAGCTATCAGTGCATGTAACATAGATGTGTGTGCTGACAAGAATATCAACCTTGCTGTCAAGCAAAATCAAGCTTCTAATAGCGAGTGTCACACAAAGTGCACTAACCAAATAGGTAGTAAGACAATAAGGGAACTCAGGCACCACACAGGTTACGTAGAAAGTAAACACAGAGTCAGTCATAAAGGACTAAAATGTCTATACACCAATGCACAGAGTATGAACAGCAAACAGGGTGAACTAGAAATTCAGGTTAAGAAGGGCAGATATGATATTGTTGCCATTAAGGAAACATGGTGGGATGAAACCCACAAATGGAACACACAGCTACAGGGATTTAAATTATTTAAAAGAAACAGACCAAATAAAAGAGAAGGTGGAGTTGCTCTATATGTAAGAAATAACTACATCTCTACAGAAATAGAACACAACAATGATGAAAACTGTCTTGAATGCATTTGGGTCAATATAAAAGGGGGGGGGGAAACGACATTACCATAGGTGTATACTACAGGCTACCCAACCAAACAGAGGAAACAGACGGACTTTTTGCTAGTCAGTTAACTAAGGTATGTAGGAAGCACATCACAATAGTAATGGGGGACTTTAACTACTCTGACATCAACTGGGAGACAAACTCTGCACCAAGTGGAAGATCAAACAGATTCCTTGCAAACCTAGCAGACAATTTTGTCTCCCAAAAAGTAGAGAAGGGAACTAGGGGATTAGCCATTTTGGATCTAATTCTCACTAACAGAGATGAAATGATAGAAGGTGTTGAAGCCACAGGAACCTTAGGAGGAAGTGATCATGCAATATTGGAATTCAACATTATGGAAGCACAAGCAATAGAACACAGTCAGACTAGAGTCTTGGACTTTAAGAGAGCTAATTTCAATAAACTTAGAGAGGGCTTTGGAAGGATTCCATGGATGAGAATCCTCAAGGGGAAAACAACTCAAGAAGCTTGGGAAATTTTGAAAAGTGAGATAATAAAAGCCCAGTCTAGCACAATACCAACAAAGAGGAAAAATAACAGCTCTCAAAAGAAACCAGCATGGCTGCATAAAGAACTCTCTGATAAATTGAAAGATAAAAAGGACAAGTTTAGAAAGTGGAAAGAGGGGCACATACTAAGTCAGAATATCAACTAATAGCCTGAGCCTGCAAAGATGAAGTCAGGAAAGCTAAGGCGACCAAGGTCAAAAATAACAAAAAAAGCGACCAAAGTCAAAAATAACAAAAAAAGCTTCTTTCAACATGTAAAAAACAAGAAAAAAAATGAAGGAAATGATTGGTCCATTAGTGGGGGAAAGTGGCAAGAAGGTGACAAGCAACAGGGAGAAAGCAGAACTATTTAACTCATTTTTTGCATCTGTCTTTACAGAAAGGGAAAAAACAGACCAACCTACCAAAAATAGTGCCATAAAAAACAGAATAGAAATGCAAGTTAAGATAGGCAAGAAAACGGTAAGTGAGCACTTGTCCAGCCTAGATGAGTTCAAATCACCAGGATCAGATGGATTACACCCCAGTGTTCTCAAGGAACTGGCAGATGTGATCTCAGAACCATTGAACTATATTTTTCAAAGATCCTGGAGCACTGGGGAACTACCGGAGGACTGGAAAAGAGCTGATGTAGTTCCCATCTTCAAAAAAGGAAAAAAAATGGACCCAGGAAATTACAGACCTATCAACCTGACCTCAATACCTGGGAAGATTCTGGAAAAGATAATCAAACAACGAATCAGCGAACACCTAGAGGCAAACAAAGTCATTACTAAAAGCCAACATGGATTTGTCAAAAACAAATCATGCCAGACAAATCTTATTGCATTCTTTAACCAAGTGACAAAATTAGTGGATCAGAGGAATGCTGTGGATATAATTTACTTGGTCTTCAGTAAGGCATTTGATAAAGTAGATCACAACCTACTACTTAATAAGATAGAAAAAGATCGGTAGCTGGCTGACCGGCCATACTCAGCGTGTGGTCCTCAATGGAACCACATCTACATGGAGGGAAATGTGTGGTGGGGTGCCCCAGGGCTCTGTTCTGGGCCCAGTGCTCTTCAACATCTTTATCAACAATTTGGACGAGGGGATAGATAGGGAAATCATCAAATTTGCAAATGACACCAAGCTGGCAGGAATAGCCAACACTCCAGAAGACAGGCTTAGGATACAGGAGGATCTGGACAGACTTGAACACTGGGTGCTATCTAACAAAATGAAATTCAATGGTGAAAAAAGTAAGGTTCTAAATTTAGGCAAGAAAAACCAAATGTACAGGTATAGTATAGGGGGTACCTTGCTCAATAGTAGTAACTGTGAGAGGGACCTCGGAGTCCTAGTGGACAATCACTTAAATATGAGCCAGCAGTGTGCTGCAGCTGCCAAAAAGGCCAACACAGTGCTGGGCTGCATTAACAGAGGGATAGAATCAAGATCATGTGAAGTATTAATACCACTTTACAATGCCTTAGTAAGGCCACACTTGGAATACTGCATCCAGTTTTGGTCACCACGATGTAAAAAAGATGTTGAGACTCTAGAAAGAGTACAGAGAAGAGCAACAAAGATGATAAGGGGACTGGAGACCAAAGCATATAAGGAAAGGCTGCTGGAATTGGGTATGTCTAGTTTAATGAAGAGAAGGACGAGGGGGGACATGATAGCAGTATTCCAATATCTCAGGAGCTGCCACAAAGAAGAGGGAGTCAAGCTATTTTCCAAGGCGCCTGAAGGCAGGGCAAGAAGCAACGAATGGAAACTAATCAAGGGGAGAAGCAGCCTAGAACTAAGGAGAAACTTCCTGACAGTTAGAACAACTAACCAGTGGAACAACCTGCCTCCAGAAGTGGTGAATGCTCCAACACTGGAAGTTTTTAAGAAGAGACTGGACAGCCATTTGTCTGAAATGGTATAGGGTTTCCTGCCTGAAAATGAGAAATGAGAGATTTTGGAGACAGATCAGTCGCATAGAAGATATATAAAATTAATCTTTTTATGACAAGAAAGAAACAAATGGAAATGTAAAAATCAATTTTCAATATAAAGTATCACCAACAATATATTTCAAAGGCAAAGGATATAAAAACAATAAACTGTTCAAATCACATGCCATGTCTTGGCAGACCACTATGGTATTAGTTTGCTTTTATTTAGAGAAACGTCAGTGTCAGGAAGTTCCTTCTTGCATAAACACACAAATATTGAGCTTGTGTACATACAGATGATAAATACCAGCAATAAAACATTAGACTTTAAGCACACAAAGACAACATAAAATTAATATTATTCAGTGTTTCTAACTTTTTCCTATTCCTATAGGGAACAGGCTATCCTAAATCCAATTCTATTTTTGATTCAAACTATTATCTAGAAATTCCTCAGTAACCTGGAAATTCTTTTTTAATATGAGGCTGGAGAATGCCAATAGCTTTCTTGCACCAACACATGCTCCTGCCCTACCTGAGCACATAGCTTGCAATTTAGTTTTACCTGGAGTTCTGCCTGTCGTATCTATACAGAATGAAGGGTAGAGGCAAACCTGACTTTTGCTTATGTACCTGAGAGATAGTAGTTCAGTGGCTTTGTCAGGCATGATAGCTACTCTCAAACCAATTGTAAATAATTGGATAACAGTATTTCACAGATGATGCATTTCTCATACATTATATAACAGGCTTTTCAGATCCAGACATATCTAATACAAATCTAAATATTTTAAGAAAAAAAATCCTTGTACTTGATATTTTTTAAGTATGAAAGACATACTTTTTGAACTTCAGCTCAGTTATTAATGAGTCATGGCCTTTTTTTGGAATATAACATACATACGATATAAATATAAATGCAAAAATATATACAACAATATTATTTGAAGTGATATTGAAATCTTTTCCAGATTCATTGTAGAGTGCACTTTGCATTTTTAGTGCCATTCTTAATGGCAGTAGCATAATATTCTGGTCCTATGCACTGCAGAGGAAGCATTGCCACTGAAAGAATCATTCTGATAAAACGTTGCAGCATTCAAATTGTTAAGAGTATCAAAATTAGTAGGAAAAATATATCAGATTCAGAACAGTATTGGGGGAAAGGAAATAAATGTGCTGCATCTGTTACTTATGTTATAGAAATATCATTTGGAAGTGAAGTAATGTTGCTGGTAGAATGAAGTTACTAAATTTGTTAAAAGTCTAATTTATTTTACTACTAGCTTATTCATTTTTTTAGTTTAGAATGATTCAATTTAGAATCTAGAATGCTTATGCTAGGTGATTTTAGTGAAATTATCACAAGACATATATCAACATCCTCTTTTTTTTTTTTTTTTTTTTACCTCCACTGCTTATCTTTTCTTTAGAAAAGCATCCTGTGAAACATAACAACATATTAAGAACATATATTGTTTCATATTTTTCTCCATTTTAGCAGGATGTAGTAACAATTCATATTTTATTTTATTTTCTATGAATGAAAAGTTCCAGCTTTTCATGTTTATTTTGGAAAGTAAAGTGTTAAGGGTATTATTAGTTGATTTTCTTTGTGTAGCACCATTTATCTCCATCAAACTCATTTTGCTTTTTTTGGGATCATTCCTTTCTTATTTGTAACTGTCCTTTTCTCCCTACATATAATAACTATACAAACCTTTTGTTTTTCTTCATATTTTGTAGCAAACATTATCTTATACGAATTCCTTTTCTCATCCACAACCTTTCACTTTATTATTCTACAAAGCATCTTGCATTATACTTCTCCAATACAAAAATTCAACAGCATCAATATTATTTCTATCCTACTTCTTCAGAACCCAATCTTTGCTTTCGCAGAGTATCACAGGGAATACAATGTTTCACTAATTTCATTAGAAACAATCTAATTATGGTTTTAGATTTATATTAATCCCTTTGTTGTGGTATGTATGAACATATGCATGTTTAAATCACATATTTGAAAGAAATCAATTTTCTTATAAGCAGATACTCACCAATCACCAATCACAATCACATTCAATCTTGGGTATACAAATAGTATACCTAAGCTTTATGTGGTTTTTCATTATCACTTCAATATAACATGCAATTATCATTAATGAATTCCTTCTTTCCTATGTTCTTACAAATATCTAGAAATTAATCCTTTGTGACATACGTGTTAGTCTTTTGTTCGTAATTGTACCTATAGCTTTGTATCATAAATAGATAATACACTTACTTTAGTAATTTGTGACCTATCAGAATGGAGAATTATATATTTTTAAATATTTACTAGTCAATATTTACTAAGAGCTCATCTACACATCCTTTTTGGCCTAGACTTGAGATACCATTTATTGTTTGTTAAAGATGCCAAAATATGGAACCTTTGGTTTGGTGCCAGCTAAAAGAAGGCTGAAAGTGATCTGTTGGAATATTTTTTTCTGGGAAGAGAAAATAAACCTCCTATGGGTACCTTCTCCATTGCAAGTGGAAGAATCATATTTAGAAGTTAGAAAATTGCTGGACCCCATGTGGCCTTCTGTAGGACTGTGGACTTCCACATGACTGTGGATTCAGGTTCTTTGTAATTATTTCTGTTTTAGTTGCAGGACAGAGTAAAATGACGTAACTATAAACAGTACTCAGGTCTTATTTTAAGCTATTGCATTTTGCTTGTTTTGTGAGTGTATACTTGTCTCTACTGCTGGTCTCCATAATAAAAAAATTACTGCCGATATTACATTGCACCATTTCTTGAATAAAAAGTATTATAAACAATAGCTAATGAAGATATTTTATAACAAAGCATTTTAAAAATAAGACAGAAAGATTCCTGCTGTTCATTAGAAGGCATGACAAATGAGCTTTACAAATAGTAATTTCACTGATGGTACTAAAAAATAAGTAACTCAGTGCATATGTTTATGGTTTAGATAGTCTTTCAGTTTGCTTATGGGAAATAAGAATGTAAAACACCTCAGCTAAAAAAGACAAAATCTATCACAACATGGTGCAAGTAACCTACAAACTTATTTATAAAAATCTAAGGCATGGGACTAAAGAAAGCTTTTCATAGTAATGTTTTCCCAGATTTCTTGCTGTACAATCCCCTTAGCCTCCGCATGAAGAACTCTAGAAATACTACAAAACTGTAGTTGTGGATGGCAGTGAAGCTAGTTGAGTAGTTTGGAAGAGAACTGGGTGAAGTGAGGTAGTATTCATTTCTAACAGAAGCAAAAGGACTAGAATCGCTCCTCAAAATGTATCACTTTCTTTTTATTTCTAGGTAACAAAAATCTCCTTTTCTTCACCCCATTCTCCCAATTTTCCCAGAGAATTCAATCTTCTCAAGAAGTTTGTAAACTGACTGTACCTGCATCGTAATGTTTTCAGTGTAAAATGCTATATATAATGTTTAAAAAGTAAAAGTTGTTTGATATCAGTCACTTACACTTATCCTGTAATGAATCATGTGGAACTTCTCCTTGGGGACTCTCTTCCAAATCTCCATAATGCAAAACTTTATGGTTTGGAGAGAGTCGACAATACCAAAATTTGTCTGATAAATAAAGGAAGTTGTTAATTTGTATCATAACAATAAAGAGAACATCACATTGAATGAAACAAACAATTATTACCCTGCAAGAAACAAATAAGAATTATCAATAAATATTTGTGGAATATCAAATCTTGTAGCTGAATTTTATGCTCCAGCCCCCCTGAATTTCCTTACTATCTTTATCTTCTATCAGTATGTTTTATTTACAAATGATAGTGATAGTATTTATTGGAAATTTATATTTTGACAGAGGACTATACCTACCCATTAAGGAAGATAGCAAGGACTTCTTTTTCCTAAAGCCCCTTTATTTAATAAACAGGATACATAATATGGATCTGTCCAAAACGCTATTTTGCTGTATCTGAACTTTGTTCTTCCTCCTTTTCACTTAAAAGAAGGTCAGATAACAGTGATGTAAACTTCAGGGGTTGCCAAATATTGACATTGAAGCAAATTTAATAGTCATAGTTTACCACAAGTGGGGGAAATTATTTGATATAGTTTGAATATTTTCTATGATTCGGTGTCATGCTTCATCGTAGCTGGAATGCTGCCATCAAAATGACAGCATTTTGCTTAATTATATTTACTTAGAGTTTAAGTAAAGTTTTAAAGTGGAGTTTCTACTTATTTTACTGTTTCAAAAATCCATCCATGAAAATATATGATGTATGGAAATATCTCCTAGCAGCTTTCATCTGAAAAGGCATACAATTACTCTATGGCAAAGAAAATGTAATACATAATACTGCTTTCCTAAAATCTTTAAAAGTAGCTATTTATACCACAGCATTCAAAAAGGAAAAAAATAACTCAAGTCCCATATCCTTCTGACCCTTAAGAATTTCCCCCGAAATGGTAAAGATAAGAAACAGATTTGCACAGCATGAGAACAGATTATTTTAACCTACTCTTAAACTTAAAAGGAGTAATGCTAATTGTAGCTTATGTTTGTAAAACTCCATCAGAAAATTACATTCAACAGAACTTAAATTCAATTTGCAACTGTAATAGGGCAAAGTTGTTGCCATAAAAATTAGTCCCATATCTTTTTCCTTGAGAAATCTGCAGATTCTAAACATGTGCTGGGATTTCCCCATGACAATGTATGTTTTCTTCCCGCTCAGTGACATTCCATGAGCTGCCAAAACCAAGCATTGGTGGTGGATCAGAAGAAGCAAGACACAGACCTGCTTTCAGCAAGAGGTTTGTATTCACCATAGTACCATAGCTAGCTTAAAAATAATAACAAACCTTTCTATCATATAGCATTATTAAAGTGTTAGTGTAAAAGCTAAAAGACATTCTTTTGCATCCATTCAGAAAACACCTTAACCACAGAATGAAAAAGGTGATTTCATTGAGAAGAAAAGAGAAGCAAGTTAAACAAGAAGCAGATAAAACAATCCTGATTTGTACCTTGTCGGCGTCGGCTGTTAAGCTTCCGGAAGCAGGTCCCTTCAACAAGACGATTTAGACGCTGCTGCTTTATCAACTCTAAAATTTCAGGTTGAATCTTCTCTTTTAGCTCCCTGGAAGGAAAACACAAATAAATAGTCTCAGACTTGATATAGTTAGGTTAGGGTTAGGGTTAGGGTTAGCTTGATAAAACTGCCAATTCTTTTAAAGACTAATTTGTCAGGGCTATTCTGGAATTGATTAGGTAGTTAATTAACAAATTAGATACTCTATGCATAAATATAAATATTAATTGATCATTGAGGAATTATTTTTTGTATTGCATTTCTGCTGATAAAATCTCATTTTTAGATTGTCCATATTGACTATGGAAGGGTCTGCATGCCCTGGTAATTGAGTGTATGGGTCAAGATCATATTTTTCAATCCTTTCCAACTGGAGATCCCTTGAACTACTATAGGCATCATTCTCAAATCTCAGGTTAAAATGAGATACTAGTCCTTCTAAAGCAGTATTGAAATTAGGAAAGACAACTGTATTGCACACACCATTTACAAAATACTATATAGCTTCCCTTCACCAAACAAGGAGAGAATATCTGCCTTGACATTCAAGAAATCATCTATCCTTATGCAATCTGAAAAATATGAACAGTATTTTAAAAGAAACTTGAAATATCTTTCACTTAATTGTACTCTAGATAAACTCTTTTTTACATATTAACTATTTTTTTCTGACGAACATTTATGTTCAATATGAAATGATAAAATTGGCTTCATCCCAGTCATAAACCTAAACATTTCTCACATCACTGATGTTCCCTTCTATTTGCTGCAGTTTCCTAAGAATTGAATATTGCTTTTGAGATACTGTTATGGAACATGAACTGTCTGGAATAAACAGCAACAGCAGTACCACTTAAACTTATATACCACTTCACAGTGCTTTACAGCCCTCTCTAACCAGTTTACAGAATCAATATATTGCCCCCAACAATCTGGGTCCTCATTTTACCGACCTCGGAAGGATGGAAGGCTGAGTCAACCTTGAGCCAGTGAGAATTGAACTGCTGGCAGTTGGAAGAATTAGCCTGCAATACTGCATTCTAACCATTGCGCTACCATGGCTCCTAGACTGAAGGAATGAATGCTAATTCCTGGGATTCACTTGTTCTCCCCAAAATAGATAAGGAATAAGACATAGCATGAAAATGAAAATAACTATTGTTTCCTTGAAGGTTTGCCTCTTATAGTTTCTGCAGCAAGTATAGCTGGTTTACTAACTCCATTTCTCCCACAAGAGAGGCAAATGAGCAGTTGATATTGTATTGCCATAATTGTCAGCTAAGTGAATCATCTCTCTGTATAAACTAATTCCCCTGATGTAATCTTGATTTCCCTGCAGATGAGTATTTTCTTCTTTAATAAGAGTTCTGAATATATAGAATCTTGTTTTGAATACAGGCTTTTGGTAATATAATAGTCTTGTTAATATTTATTTTATTTTATTTATTAATATCAAATATATGTATTGCAAATTACCAAGAAAGTTCAGAAATTGGCATTATGTCAAGTCAAATAAATAAATCAATAAAATTAATCTCAGTTTGACAATCAAAGAGACTAAGGAATTTTACGGTGTACTGAAAAATTACATTACACAGCAATTTGCCCAGACCGAGAAATGTAACATTTAATATTGATGCCACATTCTGACATTTTAATATCCTGAATGGCTCAATTAATCATTTTATGGACAGGCTTAGATATGTTGTAAAAATATGAAACTTACAGTTTCCAATCAAGAAAAATCTATCAATGGCCAAGGTTGGTCAGTTCCTTTACACTCTGCCACATGCACACACACAGTCTGGGATCAGATATGGTACAGTAACAACTACACTATTCTGATTATTATCAGCATATGGAAAGGAGTAAAATAAGAACTGAGTTTGTTTTTTCAAAAATGGCATCCAAACAGCAAAAGCATTTTTTTCAGAGCTTCTCTGTTGCTTCAAACTTTTGTTCCACATACTTCATTTGACTGATTCACTGATGGTAATATTTTGTCCTCTGTAAGAACTGGGCAGGAGAGAACAAAGTCATAAAGGGGAAAAGGGCACATATAGACAGGGGAAAATGTCAAAATACCATTTGCTGAAAATGCATTACTTGTCTGTCTCTGTCTGTCTGTCTATCTATCACATCATTTGACTTCCAATAACCACAAAATTTGAAAAAAGTATTTTGGATACACAATGGGCCATACTTGTTTATTCGTATAAACATGAATGCATTCTAAGCAAACATGAAACTTTTCTTTAAATCATGTCCTACATAACTTCCTGGGGTTATTCCTGAAGAAGTCACAAACATCAGTTGTATTTGTTGCAAGGAAGAGAAAAAATAAAGAAACCTACAAAATTGGACGAGATTGGAAATCTTCCTGGTTCATCCTCTCAGACTGGCGGATTTTCAGTATTTCTGTATAGCTCAGATTTTGAAGTTTACTTTTAAACTGATCCAGAGAACTAGGCTTTGTGGTCAGTGCTCTCATTATCTGCTCCCTCACTACTTGCATGACCTGTGGAGGAAAACAAAATTGAATTACTTCAGAGTAGTACTCGTCTTGGATAATCAAGAACATGTTCTTTCTAGAAGTTCACTGAAGCTACTTTTCTTTAAAAAAAACTTGAAATGCTGTGTCAATATAACTGTGTTATATTGATAGGAGAGCTCCAGTTTTAGTTTTACTAAACTGGAAAGTATGTGGTGCATAGTTTTAAAAATAGCGTAGACCAAACATTATGCTCGGTGACTTTCCAATTGTTCTTTCTTAAAACAATCTAATTTAATAAAATAACTTTAAACAGGACAAAATAGCTATTCGTCATGTGACTTTGTGAGAATTCAGTCTATATATCAGAGGCCCCCAACCTTTTGGGCACCAGGGACTGGTTCCATGGAGAGAGGTTTTTCTGGGGTGTGATCTCACATGCTTCCTGCATCCTGCAGATGGGGCTTTGCTTGTTTGCATGGACCGGTTTCTGGCATGCTGCGGCCCGGTGCCAGTCCATTGACTGGGGGTTGGGGACCCCTGCTCTATATGATAAAATCCCAAAACTTTCCATAAGTTAGTTTTGCTGCCCCTATAGGGTACTTTCCATTTTAAAGTTTAGACTCAACACCTCAATATCTTCATGTATAGAATCTCAATGGGATATTATAGCCCAGTCATTCTTTCTCAGCACAACCTAATTCACTAAATTGTTGCTATGGAAATAATATGAAGAAAGCTCCCCCTAAAGCTTGGTTCTTAGAAGAGAGCCAGAATATTAACCTGTCTACTAATTCTGTAAATAAGTAAATGATGTAACATACAGATGGCATCTACATTTGTGTTACAGCTGTGCCATGTTTGTGGCTTTTTAGTATAGACGAATACAGCAAAGGCAAATCCAGGTTCTAAAGAAAAAGTGGAAATTATTCCATAATGAAACACGAAGAAGAGATATGTTTTATTTTCACAGACCCAATTATGTTAAACTTCTTAAGATTTCACTCCTATCTTGTTTTCATTCAACTCAAAGAATCTTTATGCTAAAGTTAATTCCCCTTCACTCAATCATCTATTTTTTTTGGGCTTGGCTTCTAACAAAAATATATGCAAAAATATGTTTACTGAAGATTAATTTTTAAAGAAGTATTGCTTTTAAACAAGAATAAGGCAAGAGAGGTTTTGAGGGAGAACTATGAATGATGCAAACTAAGAAATAGAATGATAAATAATTCAAAATCTACATATTAAAACCAGCAGAAAAAGTATTGCAGAGATGCAGTTCATTAAGATGAGTGAAAGCCAGAAAATGGGTGTTTGCACAGATGGTGTCTGATGGGCAACCACATCACTTTAAATAGCTATACATTATAGGCTATTGGTTTGCTCGCAGTCCTAATAAAATTAAATACTTTAAAATATTTGCATAATTAGAACCTTCTAACCATTCCATCAACCGTGGAAGTTTTTAAATATTATTCATTAATTTATCACTTATAAATAAACACCCAAATTTAATGAGAAATGTTTAACAACATTTTGAACACTCAAACTAATTCTATATCTCTTTCATGCATAATGAGATCATAGCTTTTAGATTAGTTTTTGAAGAATATATTCACAAAAATAATTTTGTTAGTCCTAGTCTGAAATAAAATCTAGAAAGGACAATTACAATCCAGCCCATAGTAAACCTAAAGTGCATCTCATGGGACTGCATTTCTGGAAATATTAGTAAAGATGATAATACAAATAATATTTTTTTCAGGATGATACGTTATGCAGAATGTAGAATAGAAGGAAGAAATACAATCCAAACAAATCAAAGAAAAGAGATAAAAGCCAATGTTAGTTCAGAGCAGATTTTTCCAGGCTTTTTAGTTTCAGTGTTCTTTCTTGCCTTTTCTTTCAGCAACAATTGTAAAGCATTACTGAAGAAAGACATTGCAAGAAAACTCAGTTTTTCCAGTTAAGACTAATTTGTTTCTGAAAATAAATTGCATTCATTCATACAACTTCTCATCTGATGTGTTCCACTTAACACCTAAAGACATGCCCTCATCCCCTATAATTTAATTAGTAGCATATTCAGGTTTAAAACTATTTTCTTACTCATATAGAACTTTTCGATGTTTTCCTGGTTTTGATGTGCAATAACATCCAAAGTTAACAGCACAAAACTCTTTGACCATCCTGGTTTTAACTGTTAGAAAACAGAGTATGGTATTATGCTTCTTATTTTCAGTATCTTAAAGAATTTCATGAAAGAAAATAGAATTTCCCACTTCCTACTGTGCTGATCATAAATAAGAATCTGGCATTACTTTTGTAATAATAATAACACTAATAATCCTTCAGTTTATAAATAATAAAAATAATCCTGCAGTGAGGCACTACCTTGACATGCTTGTGTGCTCTGAGGAAGATGAGAACTAGGTTCAACTATACTGGACAGGTCTCATCAGAGGAGTCAAACAAAAAGTGTCTCTTCCATAAAAAAAATATAGTGAGATGTAAATTACAGAAATTCATACCGGCTTGGTTGTCACCTAGGTTAACAACGACCACCCTAGATGCTGGAGTTCCTGGAAATCTGGTGAAAAATGGGCTACAGGACTGTTAGCTAAACACCAGGGCCAACAGCTGCAGAACTACTGGAAGAAAAGGTATTTACCCATCATAAATATACAGTGATTGAAAATAAAGAAATAATGATTTGTTATTATAGATCAAGGAAAGGATATTTGAAATAAATGCACCAGTTCTGGAAAGAATATCCAGAATCAGAAATAACAGAATAGAGGCTGGCAGATCAATGTTGATTTGTAATACTAAATAAAGTATTCACAAAACTGAAAGAACTACAAAGGTCTAGCCAGGGCAGAAAATCAAAGCCAGGAGTAACTCAGACTGCAGAAACAAAACAGGGGGAGCTAGCAGTAGAGGAATCCAGCAGAGATATAGAATTGTTTTCAGAAATTCGGCACCCTTTCCTCTACTTCAGAAAGAAAGCCCTCTAATTAAAGAAGCAGAAGAACTGAAACAAAAAATAACTGAGGTCTAGAATAGTACAAAAATATCAGAATAAGGTTGCCTGCATTAAAGCTTGTTCCAAAGAAACAGCTAGCACAAACATTAAAAGATGCCAACACTGCAGTATCAAATATAAAGACCAGCTCAGCTTGCCAATCATTTTCCCAGATATTTGTTTGCAAGAAACAAACTAACTAATGTACAGCCCAGCTGCAGTTATAAATGGATATCTGGGATCCAATATAACAAAGAAGAAAAAAAGCTAAATAGTATACCACCAAAATGGAAGATTAGACTGAAAAATAAGATTGGCAAGCTGAGATCAGATGCAAGTAAGCTAGAATAGACGTAAGAAAAGAAGCAGAAGAATAAGAAGACCAAACAATACTTAATCAAGAAATATCACTTAGAAGGAAGATCAAAGAAGCACTGGAAATATTAAAGCAGCAAATAACAGCTATAGCCAAGAAGATCAGCAGATATGAAGCTCAAATTGCAAATTATAGACAGACCTTCCAATTTCAATCAAATCAGAAATGTTTCTACTAATCCACCAATGGAGAAACTGCAGTGAATCAATCAGTCCTGACAAGGAAAAAATAATACTGATCTGGGCGCATAACCCAAAGAAATATAACAAGGTCACAGCTTGGTTAAAGGAGGTGGATAAGAATAAAAAGGAAGCTGAAATGAAAGAACTGGATTCAAGCAGAACTAAAAGCCATGAATAAGAAGACCAGAAAAATAATAATAAATCATGCCCTTCATCCTCACAGCTACATAGATAGACTCTACCTACCAAGGAAAATAGTTGGGCATGGAATGTTGCAAGTACATCACATGGTTGAAGAAGAAAAAAGTGCATTGAAGAAATATCTGAAAGACAGTGTAAAAGATACACTGAAGTTTGTATACCAGGAAGGCTTACAGTCTACTGGAGAGACCAAACTGGCCTACAAGAAATACCAAATGAAGCACAGAATGGAGGCATGGGAAGGATAAGGAAGGAGAGCTGATGGAATGGAAGATAGAGCCATTAATAGAACTATGGGGAATTGGAGAAGGAGGGAGGCTGTTTAATGAATATAAACAGACTAGTTCTTCCAAAAATACTTTAACTAAATTGTTTCTCTTGTTTCAAATAACATACACAAGAATAGAGGAAGAATTATTTGATGATCCAAATGCACTGACTTGGAAAGCTAGTTGGCAAAGGAAGAAAGCTAGAGAAAGACTGAAGGATACAGAAGCTTTGACTTATTAGAGGGGATGTTATATTACCAATTAGATGTTTGAATATGGTTAAGAATAGATTGCTAGAAATAGAAATATTATTATAACTAGATAGACAGGATTTGTAATCAGAATATCATATCTTGGTATGAAAAGGATAATAAGAATATGCTAAGAACGTTGAATAAGGGAAGCTTTTGATTACCCAAATATAACTTGTTTTGAAATTATAAATGATTGGAATATTTTGAACATGGATGGGAAATTAAAACTGAAAAAAGCGAAAATAGAATATGGACTGAATAAATGGATATTGAGTACAAATGCAATTAAGATATGTTTTGATTGGAAAAGATATTCTAAACTGATATTATTGACACTATTAGAAAAATGTAACAAATGTATGTAACTGTTTATTTGCTAACAACATTAAGAATTGTATTTGCTTACTGTGGAAAATTGTTTATTACCAGAAGAAGAGAGGATGTATTGGAGGGTGTAATATGGGGTTTAGTTTGAAGAAGCTTACATGTACCACAGAATTACTAATAGACTCAGTCATCACGTTGTCTATTAAGCACTTGACTGTAAAAATAGAAAATTAATAAAATATTTATTTAAAAAAACCCAAAAACATCCACATCTGCCTATCCCAGGTCCTTGGAAAGGACTCAACAGGTAGACAAAAATACCAAATCCAGTCTGAATATCTGGCTGCCTATCCAACAAACAACAATAACAACAATAATAAAATACAG